GGGGAGGGTGTCACTGCACTGGGGACACACACGTCACCAGGCTTGTCCCTGTCCTCCAGGGTCACCCATGCTGGTGGGTACCGTCAGCAGAGCCCAGCTGGTCACCTTCCTCCAGAGCCACCAGCATCCCCAGGCACCTCTGGGGGAGAAGGTAAATGGAGGGGGTGAGCACCCTGCCACAGCCAAAAAAAGTTTTTTTTCCACCCAAAAATTAACGTCACCTTCCCCAAGGTGGCCACTGCAGGGACGCTTGGGGACAACTGCGCCATCGAGCCCATCATGCTCCAGCTCTCACCGTGGACCTCCCTGCACCAGGTTTTGGCGGGGGAGGGGTTGGAAAGGAAAGGGGACAAGGAGGGGGACAAGGAACAGGCCCCCAACCCACCTCCCCTGTCCCCTTGCAGTTGCGGAGAGCGATTGAGGAGCTCGCCAACCCCAAGTGATGACTTTTGGGGACCCCGCCCAAGGGCCCCCTCCCCAGGGATGTCACGCATGGAAAGACAGGGTGGTGCTGACCTCCTCCCACACCCCCCCCAGGGTGATGGGGGTCCCCCCTCTCTGGGGGAACCCAGGCATCCGGGCTGTGGGGGTGCCTCTGGCAGAGTGTGCTCTTGCATTAAATAATTAAATCCATCAGTGCTTCCTCCTCCTCCTCCAGCCTCCTGGGGCTCATTGGTGGGGGGAGGGGGCTCACCACCCCGTACCCCACAGCAGTGCTCAAACCCCCCCAAAATCACCCCAAAATTGCCCCAGCCCCAGGACATGCACCAAAGTCCCCCCACTCTCAGTAACCCCTCCCCATAGACCCCCCACCCCTATAATTATTGGTGCCTAATTATCCTTAATTATTGCAATTAATAAGGGTGGCAGGTGTTTTGTGACCCCAAGATCCTGGAGGAAATGGGGGGCTGACCGCCCCCCTAAGCTCTTTGGGTTCTCCCAAACTGGGGTGCTGTGTTTTTGGGGGGGGGGAGCAGAGGGTGTGGCAGGTGCAAACAAAGGCGTAATTAAGCCCGCCGGGGTAATTAAGCACGGTGGGGCAGGTTGGGCGAGGCGGGCATGCCTGGGCTCAGCCGGAGGAGAGGGGAAGCGGGGGCAGAGCCAGAGAGACACCCCAAAAGCGGGGCGAGGCACCGGGATGGGTGCTGGGGGGGGTGCTGGGAGCAGGGATGGGCCCTGTGTGCCCCATGTAGGGTGCTCGGTGGGGCGAGGGGACCCACAGAGAGGGGACCCACAGCACCCCCGTGCCCCACGGAGGGTGGTTGGTGGGGCACAGGGACTGTAGCACCCATGGGTGATGCCCCCAGCCCTGGCCGTCACCCCACTCCAGCTCCTACAGGGATTTAGGGCGGGAACTTCACCAAAACCAAGCCAGGCACTGGGGCGGCAGCGGTTGGAGGGGGGGGGACCCCAAACTCCCAGCTCACCCCGTGCCTCAGTTTCCCCATCGCCCTTATCCGGCCCCGCTGTAGGCAAACACCGATAAGGTGCTTCTGGGTGCTGCTGCGCACCCAACTCTGGTGTCTTCCCCCACCCCAGCTCCTCCCTGGGTGCTGCTGGACTTTGAGCTAGGACCAAGGCAGCAGCAAACTCGTAACATGCATGGGGCACCCACAGGCCCCCGTGCCCCAAAACAGGGCAAAACCTCCCCAAAGAGCAGCTTTTGCAGCAAGATCCTGGTCCCCCCTAATACCTCCCCCCTTTTTTATGTTTTTTTTGGGAATAAACCAAACAAACCTTTTTCCGGCTTTTTTCCACCTGGTTATTTGCAAGCACTGGGCAGCTGGCCCTGCCACAGTGGCTCAGGTTTGGGTTTGGCTTTGGGGGAGCGGTGAGTGATAAAAAAGCCAAATTTCTTGTGGGTTTTGCTGAGGAAAAAGAGGCCCCGGATGGGAAACGCTCCTTGTGCAACCCCTCAACCCACGCTGGAAAAAACCCACCCTCAAAAAAACCCCCACGCCCTTAAACCCCCCCTTAAAAAAAAACTTTAAAAAAATCTTAAATCCCCTTAAACTCCCTTTAAAACCTTCTTAAACCACCCTTCCCCCCC